CTGAGCAGTAAACGGGAAGATTTTCATTATTTTTCGTACCACTACCGCTGATTTCTGACCGGTCTAACTCCATGTTTTTGTTTACTAACGTAAGAAATACTTAATATATTTTTGCACTAAAACAATGCAAAAAGATATAGTTCACCAAGTAATTAACTTATTTTCCACTTAAACTCGAGCAAATTATTCTTATCAAATGAATGAAAACAATAACAAATGCACGCGACCATGCGCCGTGTAGGACTGCGAAATAACATCACACGATCTCTCTCACAGCGAGGCGATGGAGGCGACAGGGGCGAGCGCGATGCGACTAGCGCGCGCGAGTTAGTTCGTTTGATCGCCGCACACCGTTGTCAAAAGCGCGCCAAATATGTTTCCAATAAAACAGATTAACAGAAATGAATAAAGTTGGGTAATAGGGATTTTAAATAAACAAGTAGTAAATTTGTGAAATGTAATTTGGTAATCTAAATATGCATTCTTTGTTATGCAATTTTAGAGAATGAATTCAGTAATTCCGTTGTAATATTGGATAATTAGGTGTGCAAATCAGTATTTTTGTGAAGCGGTAAGTAATTTTGTTTTAGAATACTTATATATGTGGTTTTAGCTAGATTTTCGTTGTAAATAAAGTAAAAAAGTCAAGGTAATTTTAATTTATTTTAAACATTTTCTGATACTACATGTTTTGTTATCCAAGTAGTTAACTTGATATACAGTCATTTATTTGATATACAGGTAGATTATTAGTGGAGAAATGTTGTTTGCTTAAATTTTAAATAGAGGTGTCATTAAAAATTCCCCTTTTTTTATTGTTTCAACAACAATCATCAAAATCGTTATTTTAATAGATACAGACATTTTTCTATCTGTAAACAAAAGTTTTCATTGTTTTATTAGAATACTATTTTAGCTGACAGGTAAAAATCTTCTTACTTTAAACAAAAATTAAATCGAACAAAATTTTGCTAGAAACAAGATTTATCTTAAAATATTGTATCATTAAACTGCACTTCTTACAAATTTATTAATACTTAAATATGTTGTAAATCAACACTGTTATTGGTTTAAAATAACATTATTATAAAGATAGAGTATTTAACTGTCTTTAATCAACATCTTTTTGTTTAAATATAACATTATTTTAGCAAATAAAATCTTTTACTACCCGTAGAAATATTATAAATACTAACAAAAGTGTGTAAGTACCAGAATTTAATATAAACAAACCTATAAATTGACAGATAAATTATATTATAATTAAACCGTACTCCCTACTTACTAATTCAATACAATCATCTCGAAATAAATCAACAGGCTTTATTTTAACTTTAATAAATTAGGTAGCCTCCTAACCGGATTGCCTCTTTGTTCACATTGACCGAATTAAAAAGTTACTTTTATTGTCAACTGGATCCTCATAGAGCTACTTAACTGTAAATTTTTATGTGATTTTATCTGGCTCTTGTAGCCGGAAGAAATTATACAAAGTAACAAGCATGCAAACAATAAAATTCTCCTTTTCGATAATAAAGTTAGTATAAAATTAATGCACCTAGTCAAAGTTTATCCGTATTGTTGTAGCTTATGAGGATGTAATTGAAATAATAAAAATATTTAAGACTATAATTTAGTTTGGTTCATTTGATTCATCATTATCCTCGTCATTTTCATCAGTATCATTGAGAACATCGTGGACTTTTGCTTTATTTGGGAGACGCAAATATTCATCATGGAATCTCTTTGGAATAATACCAGTTTCACATAATTTTTTGAGATCATTATATTTTGCCACTGAAATTGTCAATCGTTCCCTATAAAGGGGTGATAAAATATCATCCGAACTTCTACTTCCTTCTTTATTTTCATTTACTTTATCTGAGTCTTTTTTCTGTTTACCTTTATTTGTCCTCTTTCCTATTCATTTACCTTTGCCTTTTTCATGCATTTGTCTGGAGAGATCAATATTATAAGTGGTATCATTTTCATGCATTGTATATTTCACTTGCATATGAGCCAATGCAGATTTTTTAAAAGTGCCCACTCTTATTTGTTTCATACGCAGATCTTTGTTTTTAAGGGTTGCTGGAGTAAATATGGTCCCCGATAGATTATTAAAGTTTATAAAATCTGTATGTTCTAAAACCTCTACAGAATAAGGCTTTGGGCGCTTTCTGGCAGTCTCCATAAACGTGGCCCATTGAGATGGTGCCCAAATAATCAAATTTTTTACATCCCTTTCAATTACAGCGTGCATACTATCGACCGGCATGTATGTATGGCCAGGAAGGAGGTAGTTTATTTGTATCGTTTGTAGATTTTGAGATGTTTGCAGAAAATATTTGAACAGGGATAATATCACTCTATTTTTATTCTGTCCCGTACAGTTATCACAGTAAAATATTAATGTTTTTACTTCTCTGTTATCAACTTCTTTTAAATAACGAGTAAGGCATGTTGCTATTTCACAACTTCCTCTTTTACCGTCTCCTTCCCCCCATGTATAGCAATATCGATTTTGTGTTTTACACTCGTATACTGTAAAATTATATACAACATACTTTCGTCAATAGTACAACATTATACTTTCCCCGTGAGGTGTTGCTAAAACCTTTTGGAGGTCGAAACTAGCCACAACTAACGCCTGATCCGATTTCAAATTTCGATGAATGTGAAGACGTTTGTATGTAGCCTCTTTCTCCATTAAGTGTTCCTGCAATTGTTCATTAGTCGTTGAATCCGGATTATTTTCATTTTTAGTACAGATAGAACACTTATCTTTCTTGGGGACATGAAACGCAAAATTATATTCTCTAAACATTATCGAAAACATTTTTTCACTTAAACACTTTATGGATAACCGTTCACAGTGTTTAACGTACAGTCTATATAAGTTTGATAAGTTCTTGAACTGTACAATTTATTTGATTTTTTCCTGCTGTAGTGAGACGGTAAAGCTGGCAAAGTTTCTATGTGCTTTTTTGCGTCTAATATTATATTTTAATCGTATTTGTCAGGTGCGGTACGTGTTCTAGATTCATGGGTTGATAATCCTTCGGTTGCATGGTTTACTGTATATAGTAGATACGTTTGAGATATATCCAGTGTCTTTAGAATGAATTGCTGGCAAACTTGCCTGCGTCCCTCACCTTCATTAATAAAATATTCATGAGACAAAGATCTCCTGCTTATTATATTTTTTGTCTTTTTCCGTTTTATATCTGTTACTCTAGAGCATTGTACTAACCAATCTCTTTTTTTTTGTATCATCAAGTGCCCCAAAATAAGGCTAACTTCAAAATTTAAATAATACAAGTCTTATGTAAGAGACACATTTATTTATAAATTGAGATACCTTATTGAGCTTATTAGAGAGGATAAAAAACGTCCTTTAAATTATTTTTTTCTTTTAAAATGTGCTTAGCCCATCAAAAAATCTTACTGTAAGGGTCCTTTTTTTGAAAGATATCGTAATTTCAAGTATACCAGTCGATGGAGCGGAACGAGCCGATTTCAATGATATATATAACTCATTTTGCCCAAAATGTCCCTTACCTTAATTGATATTTCCGGTATCGATATTGCGATGTATTTCACATCTTTTATAGCATGCCTTTTTTTCTTCTACATGAATTTTGTACGCAATAGTCTCATTTTCATTTAAAACATTAGTCTTGTTTATCCCGCGATCGTTGTCGTTAAGCAACTTTCACAAGGGTCGGTCACGGGATGGATGCCCAAAAAATTATTATCTCGAGCTATTCCGTGCTTCGGAAGGCACGTTAAGCCGTTGGTCCCGGCTGCATTTGCAGTCGTTAATACCCTCCAATCCGCATTGGGCCAGCGTGGAGGGTCATGACCTATCCTCCTTAACCATCCATAAGGAAGGCCTGAGCCCCTGCACTGAGGACGTAAAAGGGCTGGTGGTTGCACTTATCTTTCTTTCTATGAAAAGTTATGTTATACTCCTTAAAAAGATAGTCGCTCACTTAGATAAGAATGTGAATTGTCTTCACAATATTATATATGTTTATTATTTATTATATAATAATTCCATTATTTATTATATACCTCAGTATAACATCAGCACCGTTATTATATACCTCAGATACCTCAGTATAACCCTAACCCAACGAAACGAATCGATTCGTATGTTGTATCGTTTGGTACGCGTATAGAATTGCAAATGAACTATTGACGGAATATCTAATTATAATGAAAAAGCAACACTTGTGTCAAACTTATTTATTGACAAAAACATTTTAACAACAAAAAAAATTACAAGTTTTTTTTAAGCATGTAATTGCTCGATGCTTAAATCTAAATAAATAGAAAATATAAGTAGGAAAAAATATTTAAAACAATAAAAATCTTTTGTTCTTGAAATAAAATTAGACACATTAAATAAAAACATATTTTAAACAATAAAAATCTTTTTTTCTTGAAATGAAATTAGACATATTAAATAAAAAAATATTTTAAACAATAAAAATCTTTTTTTCTTGAAATGAAATTAGACATATTAAATAAAAAAATATTTTAAACAATAAAAATCTTTTGTTCTTGAAATGAAATTAGACATATTAAATAAAACATATTTAAAACAGCAGAAATCTTTTGTTCTTAAAATGAAATGAGACATATTCAATAAAAACATATTTTAAACAAATAAAAAACTCTTTTTTAAACTCACCACTCTAATTATAATATCGATCCCTAATTATAAAATTTGGTTTAGAGATAGACTAGTCCGTAAGTAAGGATTCTTTTTAATTGTTTATCTAACTACGACGTTATAATTTTAAAGTTCGTAACTGTGGGGGTGAAGCCGCGGACAAAAAGCTAGTTTAACTTTATTGCAAGAATCTCTGATTCATATTTAAAAATAATAGCTTTTCCATTCTCTTTTGCTTAATAGAGCTGCGCCTCTCGCTTAATATTTGGCCCGATTTTGAAAAAGTCCTTTCAGATGGTACCGAAGAAGTCATAACTGACAACTATTTATCAGCCAAACTTGAGAGCTCCGGGTATAGTATTGCCCGCGCCTGCCACCATCTCAAAGGACACTCATTTCGGGGTATAATTCTTTCTTCTAAATATTGCTTCATAGTAATAATACTGCTGCAAACTACAGTGTTTGAAGTTGACGCTGACGTCACCAGAGTGTCAAAATCTTTCCAAATTGAATTCATATCAGCGTCAGTGTTGCTAGTTGATATAGCTAACGTTGACTCAGTAGGTTCTATAGGTTGCTGTTGACAGTTGAACTCGTTTTGCAGCTCAGTTTTTAATGCATCTTTGGCAGACTCATAACTTGGCGCATCAAATCTAAATGCCAGCTTCTTAAAACGCTGGTCTAAGGTGCCGTCCATTAATCCATTAATCACGTGATGTTTTTTTTTGGCATTTTTTAACCTCCCCTCCCCCATAGTGATACATGGTGAGGTTAAGACTACCCCCCCCCCCCTCCCCATATATCCCGTGTATTTTTAGTACTTACAATGAATCTTAATTTTCTAATTGTATTATACACAATTAAAGAGTACAATAATGTCTAGAGGTAGACAGAAAGATTACAGGACTTGCAGGTTATTTTTGATTGACAAAAATAATGAAAGGAATGCGAAAAACTTTATGAATATTATTATTTAATGAGCAGTGTCCTCGGACCACGGATTAACAAGGCTTTGTTCAACACCAATAACTGGATAAGCATCTTGCAAGTTAGTTGTTGGCACTGTGCTTTGTTGAAGATCAACATCAGTTTCATCAAACCACTCGGCGTCATCATTTTCGCGCACTATGCAGAGAATTTCTCTAGAGCTACCGTTCGAACGTCGCGTGAGGATGCGGGAAGGACGATCATTGCGCATCTAGACTATTGGTGCTCGGATTCAGTTGCTTGTGACAAGAATTCACATGTTGCTTAACTTTTTTCTTTGTACAGAAGTACAATGCACACCACTGGCATGTCCTTTCCAAAAGTATCTGACGATCCTTCTGCAGGCTAGGGCAATATAGGTCATAAATCAATTTGCCAAAGCCTTCATACGTTGGAGTTATTGAGTACGTAACTGCTTTAGCACGGCCCATTTCATTTTCTTTTATGATGCACCCAGCATATACACTAGGGATCAATTTGTGCCTTGTAGCAATCACCCAATCATGATCAGGCAATGAGACACGACATTCGACATGCATCAAGAGAGGAGCTTGTTTATTTGCCGCTGTCAAGCCTATAGGCACCCGAGCTTTGTCATCTTGCGACAGAAAAAATACTTGATGTGGTCAAAGAACAGATGCTAGCGTTTCTAAGGATCTTATCGTGGCGACACAAAAATGTTGATCGACGTGAGCTGTATGGTGATCTGCCTCAGGGAGACTTAATTTGACAGGCATAGTGGCTACATGCCTTTTGCCCTCCATCGTGGTATAATTTCTTGGGAGCAACCGAAGGTACGTGCCACTTCTCGAAATTTCAAATCCGTGCTCTCTTAGCTTCTCATGGAGGTCAGTTAGTGTTCGGCAACTGCGAACAATTTCTGAGCGACGTCGTTCCTCCGCAGAAGCACCAAACATAGCAAAATCGACGATAGTTTTTAGCAATAGCGGTTGTTGCTCTTCCAAGCGTGGGCGACCTGGTGCAGAGCGCGTCTTAAGAAGACTAGCTACTGTTGGACTCTGATTGCAAGCAAGTTCAATCTTTGATTGTTTTGATAATCTATGTGACTGAGAGTGACGCATATGTTGCTCCTTCTTTCGCAGTTCTTTTTTGCATCTATCAATTTCTTGGCGCAGTTTCATCACATCACGAGTCTTATCTTCACTAGCGCCCTGAGCATCCCTACGACGTACAGCTAAGTCTAGCTCCATTTGAATAAGGGAGATGTGATTCTTTAACTTATCCTGTGCTGGAGTAGCACGTACAGGCTGCAATGTTGACCTGCTTGCAGTTGGAGTATCCGGTGAACCCTGTGCAGGAGTAACATGAAGAGGCTGAGGGATAGAGCTGCTTGCACTTTGTGTAATATCCAGTAAATTCTCATCGATACTTTCCAAATCTTGGACTTTACGTTTCCGAGCACCTTGAACGACCACCATTTAAAAAAACATGTAAACATTGAAATTATTACAGATCATACACATCATATTAATAATAATATTGCCAATTGTTCAACATGTATATGTTTTCGAGACGATCTCCCTTTACACCACAATTTAATTTCTCTCTTATCATGAATATTCCTAAATACACAATAACATAAAATTTTTACTACCTGATGATGTGCTTTGAATAGTGCCGTAGCTAGTGTCATTGGTTGTGTTTGACGAAATAGGAATGTTCTCACTGGCATTTTGAAAATTTAATTATTAATTATTATTCAAGGTAATGATAATATTCTGCAAGTAAATATAACCATCCCCAGGAGTTTTATTTTATCCAATGAATTCAAAACGGCACACAGACCATGCAAAGTCCTCGTTTTTGCATTAAAATATTAAATAGGTATGTATGCAAGATAATACTGCCACCGTTAATTAGCAAATCTTTCAGTTAAATAGTAGCGTCACAGCAAAACCACACTTACAACCATCACAATGTTTAATAAACCTATGCCTCGTAGACAGATTAAGGTCAATATACCTACTTTTCTATAACAAGTCCTGCGAGCGGCGAGAAGTAGTCAATGGGGCTTCCATTAAATCACGTGCCGTTTTTTAGCACTTTTTAACGGAATGGAAAATAATATTCCTGTGCGCCAACGGCTACCTTAAACTTTTAAAAATCTAAGAAATTAATTAAATACCCTTTTTAATTACGTAAAAATAAATATGTTTTCGATTTAAGTAATACTTAAACTAGGTAGGTACGCTATGCGTATTGTAAAAGTATGCATATTCATTGTTTCAATGTAAATTATAAGATTCAACAATAACATTTATCTTGCAAATAGAACGATAAGTGAATTCTTATTATTGGAACAATGTTCATGAATCGATAATAGTTACATACAATTTTTAACTTACCTTTTTAGTATTAGAACAATAAAAGAGAATATTGGAAGATTTCTTTGCGTGGTGCTTTCGGCGGTAATCTAGTAAAAGATCATTCGCCCACTTTATAAATTCTTCTTTTATAGTATATCTTTGTTTCGCATTAGCCCATAATTCATTAAACTCTTTTTGAGCCGCACTAGGTTTTTTTCTTTCTTATACTCTGAAAATAGATCTTTATACAGATCACCTAGTTTAGACATTGTTTTAGAGCAAAACAGGCAAGGTTAAACAATTTTTACGCATGTATTCAGCGCCAAAACAACAGAATATAACTGACAAGTGACAAGCTGAGTCCGGCGGGCAGTCGTCGCGGCTCGCGAGAACTTTACTTCGTTCGTTGCCTGGCAACGGCGAATCAAGGTCGCACTACAAGCTGTTTTCGATTTTGTACACGTTTGACGAAAACATAATTTTATTATACTTATTTACGCCGCTTTTCGGTTGAGTATCGCGCGTTTGTCGAAAAAATAAATACACGTGATATGTTACTTCACCCCCCCTCCCCCCTTGTGATATTTCGTGACTTTTTTATGGACCCTTCCCCCCCTTTCGAGCCTCACGTGATTAATGGACAGTAGGGTGGAGTGATCATATATGAAAAAAAAATAACTTCTTTTTTTTTGAACGGCATAGCGATAAAAAGTTGCCTTTGAATGTGAGAATCAAACATACGAAATATCGTTAATCTATTTTAATATTTTGAGGTGCCCCAACACAGTCGAAAATAGGTAAATAAAACTACTTTTCACATTTTGTTATCACACTGTCAGATGAGTCAATGATTGTAGTTTCTGCTATTATTAATTTATTTTAATTATAATTACCTGGGAATTCGATAATTAAAAGACCCGTAACTTATTTCGAACAATTTATTAATTAAAAGAAACAATGAAAATACTTAATTTTAGATAAACATGAAATTGTTTTTTTGTATCGAAATGTGGCATTTGCTGACGTGAAAGTAGCCTTGCCCTAATGAAACCGTCTCGTTTATGTTCTACGCAAACAGCACTTGAAGCTTCTGTCACTAATTTGATGTAGCGCTCTACGGCTTGAGTGTGGCATGGATATTTTTTTATATTCTGAATTGTGCCCAAACCACTTTTCACAATCGATTTCAAAGCTTCATCCGATAAATAAGAAGTCAGTGGTGGCTCAGTTATTTTCAAGTCATGCCATGTAATAATTAGCGTATAATCTCTGGCGTCGAAATTTAAAGCAGGTACTTTAAATGTTCGAATACCTGAAGCAGTCTCAGATCTTGCTTTCAAAATTTGTTGATATGCCAGCTCACGTATGCTTTCCATGTCATCTCCAAGCATGGCGACAAGAACATTCTCTGGATGACCGAAATATCCATTTCGTTGAATTACATTGTCAACAATCTTCTTCAAATCCGGCTTCAAATAGCGACTCAGACTAATAGTTTGCCACAGATGTTTAGCTCCATTAATACACGAGGGATTACTTTTTATTGTGAACCACATTGGACCATAAACTTTCATCACGTACGTAACTAACACCACCAGTTTTTCATCAGGATCTGTCTTAGTAACATATAATCTTAAAATTCTGTTTGCGGTCGTAAGCCATCTAGAATGGTTGAGAAGCCCAGGTTCCATATTAGCTAAATCGGAAGAAAAAATACCAGTACTTACAGCCGTCATTATATCGTATAGGTATTTTTGGTCCGTACTTAAATCATTACTAGCGATCTCAGGTAACGTTGACGAAATGGCAGTGAATTCCACTATTGGCATAGTTTCACATTTTTGTAATTCGGATCCAATGGGACCTGAAAAGCACTTAGGCCCTGTAGTTTTCCATCCAAACGCAATAACAGGTGACGCAGTGGTAATTCATTCGTATGTAACTGACAAACAAACCACTGTAATGGTTTCTTAAGTTCTTCTTCCAACAAGCGAATTACACCACATTTAGAACCTTTACAAAACTGTTCCATCGCAAACAACAACAGATATTTTGCTAAGTTCTACCGACTTGGATTTTAAGTAAGTTATAATAGTACTTTTAATAACTTTTGCAGTGCCCGACTCACACGTGACATGTCCGAAGTAGTCATTTCCTGGCTCTGATAAAATCACATAATGGTCCTCTGTAACTCTTTTTCTGTAAAATTTACCTTCCTTTTGAACACTAACCAAAGTTTTGTCCTTTCTACCATCAAAATAAATACCAGTTATGATTTTATCGCGATCTGCGTTCTGTAAAGTTGTTCTGACTTTAGTTCTCTCACGGCGCAACTTAGATCGATCAATGACACCACTGGCGTCATTTGAAGAAACAATTCCGACATCTTTCAACACCGAAGAAGCTATAATAGCAGCGGCTCTGTCAGAAACTCCAGTGCGATCACACGCAAGAGCTAACGATGGTAAACTAAACCTTTTCTTTTTTGCGGGTGGCGTGGTGGATGGAATTTTTATAGGACTAGATGCTTCGCTATTGCTAGAACCGGCACTAGTACTTTCAATCGCCAATGTCACATTATCAGGTAAGAAACGGGAACAGCACGGTTTCTCGGAATCAATTACCTCTCTGTTACGCAATGAACTTTTTTCTTTTCTTTCTTGTTTTTTCTTCTTTTTTATAGTTGCGGCTAAATCTACACCACCTATCATCATTTTCCTTGTTGTTCTTTGATCAAGTAGAAAATTTATTTCCTCTTTGGGAACACGACTGTCTCTTGAACAAGAACAGTTCGAGATAAGTTTGCATTTGCAACTGCAGATATCGAATAATGTATGAGACTCAGCTGTAAATGTATTAATTTTCTGTTGATAGTTTTTGTTGGTTTGACGGCCATGATATGGTTTCATTAATCTTCTGTATTTGTCATGGTAAGCGCGAATTAATTGTAGTACTCTCTTACGACTTACTGTTGGCAGCGAAGCTTTTTGCCAAATATCTAATATTTCTTGAGCCAATATTTCGGATATGTCATGCACCGTCGGCTCTTTTGTTGTGTTGTCTGGTTTTAATTGATATTTAATGAATAGATAATATTTCATAACATCATTATAAGTCGGCAATTGAGACACTGGTAACTTCTGTGGCAAACCAAACACGGGACAAGACGTCGTTTGTCGAGTTTTGACTTGAGACATTGTACTGTAATAGACAAAATTAATAGGTATTTATTCAAATCGGAAGTACTTCAATTCGATCTACATTTAATTAACTATCAACATTGAATTATAATTGAATTACTACTTACATGACTTGTATTTCTTGATATCAGCTGTTAAAATCGAAGCCTCTCACAATAAATAAATAACAATCCGCGTGCGTATGTTGACTAAGTGGCGTCCAAACAACGTTTGATGAGAGTAGTGAAATAACGTCCTCCCCCGCTTCCCCCGCGTTCCTTGCATCGACTAACACGTCTCAAGGTTAATTTTTTGTATCATAAACAAACAGGGCAACGTTCAATATAAAATTAAGCGGAATTAAGATGAATGTATTTTTTACCAATTTTCGCGAATTCCTCTAACATTAATGAGTTTGGGGGCACCTCTAAATATATTTAGTGTTAAATAAAATTTTGTGTGTGTATTTGTGAGTTAAAAGAGCAACTTTTTACAGGTATTCCAAAACGATATCGAAATAAATAAAAAATCACTCCACCCTAATGGACAGCCCCTAATAGTGCTGCTTTAGATAACACGGGGTGCCTGTAACAATTCTTAAACCTGCTATTGAATTCCGTCAATATTTTATTTACCAGTTTCCTTCCTGTGTCTGTTTTAATATCTGTAAAGCTTAAACTGTGCAAAATTTTAATCATAATTTCCGTCGAAGCCAAGATCATTGAAACAGTCACCTTTTTTTCAGAAGACATTTCTTCAGTGACCTGTTTGAATGGCTTCAGAATTTTTATTATTTCTGGCAGTGTTTGCCATTCGCCTTCTGAAAGATTTTCTACTGGATTTGTAAGATTGCTCTCAATAACTCTACTTTTCTATCTTACACTATAACTTATATAAAGTAGTAGTGAAAATACTAATTTCAAAAGGATATAGCATAACAACATGTTGATTTTTCTTTTCTTTATTACAACTCTAATGAATACCTCATCACGGAATGCTGCAGGAGCAGCTACATTCTGTTCGTGTCTGGCCCATCCAAGATACCAAACTATGGTCATTCATTATATGAACACAGCATCCCAGTGTAGATCGACCAATAAGACAATTACAGCAGTGTTCTCTTATGCCATTGTCCATTATGAAATGTGTCATTATTCTTTAAAATGTACACATAATATTGTTTCCTCCCAATGTCTCGACTTAATTCTACTCCTTATAATTAGGACTTTATTTATATTTAAGTCAAATTCTAATAAATCTAATAATACGGTCTGCGTAGAAACACGTCTACACATATTTGTCTAAAAAAGGGAGGCCGCAATCGATTGAATACTGTAATATCGATTCTTATGAATAATCATTTGTTTTTAATTTCATTATAAATAAACTATTTTCTTTTAAGTAACATCTATTAGTAATCTAATCTAAGTTTTATAATTTTCACGGATTTATATGGTTAGTAAATAATATAAGATTTGTAACAAATTCAATTAGTCAGAAATAAAATCGATCTTTTTCTTTGAAAAGAGAGGGACTTCTCTAGGAATGACATTATTAATAAGATGCGTTCAAAAATAACATAATTTAAACTGCGTTCTATAAAATAAAGACATATTTTAGAGAGCATTATCTTTCTTTTCCCAGCTTTTAAAAATAAATTGTTGCTATATAATAATTACATTCAACTTATACTACATTTTGGTGATAGTTCCATCTTGGTACAAGAACTTTTTTTTCGTAGTCCATTTTGACCATTGTTCTTTCACAGTCAGTACTGGTCTCCAATTTCCCACCTGCTACTGACATCCATGCTTTAAATTGTTCTGGAAACTTGTCAGGGTTGGGAAAATTATGACGTATCATACCTGTAAAGTACAAACTAATTTGTTATTCTGTTTCAGTCATTAACATTCAAATTTTACTTAGTAATAACTTTATCTAAAAATATGTGGAATTGTAAAAACTAAAATAGTACATTCCCAAAAAGAGATTAAATGAAGGTTCTGTTGAAGATAAAAGTTTTTAAACTTACCACTAGAGAGTGGGCAGCCTAACGCACAGCGTTTAGGCATTGTAGTGTGGATGGCTGAAACAGAATACACAATAAAATTAAAACTAAACACTAAAACCAATTCAGCGTCTTTTCGCACGGTTTTGAACAACACATAAAAAGCTTCTTTTCGCTCACGGTTTAGAACAACACAGAAAAGCGTCTTATCTCGAAAAATCGATTCTTCGATTAATCGATCTCAGATCGTCATCCCTAATCGTAATGTATCGCATGTGTTTGTATCGATACACGATATTATCGTATCCTTTTGTTACGATACATACGATATTTTATATAAAATGAAAAAGTATTTCGCTTTTTAGTGACAAAGTCAAACTCTAACCATAATTATTAGCATAACAAAAACAAACTTTGCAAATTATTGCAGAACTCTAAATAAAAACAAACTTTTTATTTTTACTGTTGCCATTGCTCTGCACTTAAGCTGCGTAAAAATAGCAGTCTAGAAAGGCGTTTTGGATCTAATCGATTACGGGTTTCTAAAAGTGTGGATCCAGCTAAAGAAAATAAACGTTCGGAGGGAACAGAAGTAGCCACAACAGATATATAACGCAGCGCCAAATCACTGAGATCAGGCCAAATATTCTTTCTTGCTGCCCTGTATAATACAGGGTTTTCTTTTCTCTCTTTAAGAGGTTCTCTCATATATTGTTTCAAAATATAATCCATGCCTTCTCTGGGTTCACATTGAGACGACTGAGATACCAACTCCTTATGAAACTTGAAGATATTATTTTTCTCTATAGCTGACGTAGTTTCCTGACTCTGGCTAGTAGAAGCAGTGAATGAAGTTGAATCAGCAGATGAATTTGATTTTAACAATTCAGATATATCATTTAACTCGGCGGGACGAGCGCCCCAAAATGTAACACGGACGGTCGCAACCGGGTAAAATGCACTACAGAGGTTTTACTTAAAAATTGGGGTTTCTAATAGGTATTTTATTAAAACAAAATTTTATGTTTAATTATACTATATTTTTAACAAAACAATGCGTAATTAAAATAATTATATTTATTTATTTTTGAAATCACAGCTTATTAATTGAATGTTTTATCACAAGGCTAACAAAGAAACAAAAATGAGACTCTGAATATACAAAAATATTTAAAAAATAACATACTCTTACTTTCAATAATAATTAAAACATATATTAATATGGCATTTTTTTTATAGTCGCTGAAAGTTCGACATCAGTTTTCTTACATAATATTTAAATTTAAATCGTGAAGCCAAAAGTACAACTTTCCCTTTTTTTTTGAACATACGCTACTAGAGTGCAATCAGGAACAAATCCAAAAACGGAACTATTTCTTTCTCTTCCTTTTGTAGATGTGAAAAAGGGTGGCACTTGAGGCTTATTTTTTCTCACGGTACCTAAAACAGTCAATCCGTAATCTTTGAGTAACTCTTCCATGAGTGGAAACCTTGTAAACATTTCTTTTAGAGCTTTTTATACGCTCCACTAAACGCTTTACCACATCAGCCGCAGAATTACTTTGATTGTAAATGCCTTCATTTTTGCTTACATATATTTCAATATTCGCGGTGTAAAACCGACGGGCATCGCACAGTAAAAGCATTTTAATTCCATATTTTCCTAGTTTACTTGGCAGGTATTGGCAAAACGAACATCGACCTCGTGTTTTTTTTCCAATTTTTCATCGATGGTGACATGTTCTCCCAGCGAAATATATTTCTTTATGTTCACGTTGAACTCTTCAAATATTTCCCGAAATGCCGCGTGTTTGTCCCCTTGTCTTCTTTCATCACGCGTACGTATGTTATCAAAATGTAAGCATCTCAAAAGAAAATGAAAGCGCTTTCGTGACATTTCCGCCAAACAGATATCGGAACCAGAGCCGTCTGTAGCCCAAAGGTCTTTAGTGTTGAGGTGTCCGCTTCGCAGCCTTCCACAATAACACAGTAACCCCAAAAGAGCTTTAATTTCTGTTATGTCTGTACTTTTGCTATCAACTCAGTCAAAATAATATTTTGGCTGATAAGAAGAACGAGCAAGAAACTCACCAGCTCTAATAGGAGTAATGACATTTACAAAAACCATGTCTAGGGATCGAACGATACTTTCGATACTTATGAAGTATCGATACTTTACACTCGATACTCGATATTTTAGTATCGATACTTGAACATCAAGGTATCGACAGGATCGCGGTATCGACTAGTCTATTTTTAAAATATCGAGTACTTTTTGTCACTACTTAAAACAAATTACTTTCCATGGTTAAAATGTATACGGTGGAGATCGGTGACTTAGCAATTGGTCTGCTGGAATGCACCCAACGATTTTTAGCAAATCGCATCCCTAGATTTGACTTGAAAATCTTGAACGCAGCGCAGCTGAAAGGAATGAATGAATGATTTTTAGTTCGTGAATTCATAGTCTTCTCTATGGTTCATTCAATAAATTTCTTCCTTCGTTCCTTTTTTCTTCGCGCCCAATTGTGCTATTTTGTGTTGTGATAAGATTTTTTCATTTCATTATCTTGATAAAAAATGAGCAGCGCTGGTAAAAGTGGTATTAGTACCGTGTGGAAATACTTTGAGAAAACGGGTAAAAACTCTGCAAAATGCAAATTATGTTTTAAAGCTATAAATACGAGTGGCAATACTACTAATATGATGAAGCATTTGAGACTTAAGCATAGTTCTGTTGCTGTTGACGTTGGAATGCAAATGAAGCGGTTAGCCACCAGCACTAGCAACGATGACGATGCCAATGATGATGATTCCTCCTGGTATGTTTAGTTTTTTTATATTTATCATCTGTTTCGAAAAGTAATCTATGCGATATTATTAATTCATTAACCTACCTACATAAAACTATCTAGTGACTGTTATCGACCTCCTCTATTAACCTCTTTGGCAGACTTGCTTGGCTTACTATTATTTATCTTATCCCTTTGGGGAAAGGCAAAGGAAGAAA